GTGTGTGTGTGTGTTGTCAGGGAGCGCCCGGGTAACCGCCCCCCCGAGCTGCTCTACCCTCAGGCCGACGTGGCGGAGCGCCTGGCGCTCGGCGGCAGCGACGAAGCGCTGGCCAACGGCACCAAGGCCGACCTGCAGGCGGCCAAACGTCTCGCCAAACGCCTCTACAACCTGGACGGCTTCCGGAAGTCCGACGTGGCTCGACACCTCGGGAAGAAGTCAGTGTGTTTCTGTCCTCAGCACGTAATCAATATTCAATAATCCCGATCGATAACGATGTTCGCATTGATCTGCTGTGTCTGTGTGCAGCAACGAGTTCAGCCAGATGGTCGCAGAGGAATATCTCAGTCACTTTAACTTCAGCGGTCTGACCATCGACCAGGCTCTCAGGTCAGTTCCCATCACCATGAGTCAACTACAGCTCCCATGATGCATTGCAGTGACAGGCAGCCAATCACAGAGCTTCCTGGGTTCAATAATGGAAGTTTTGTGTGTGCAGGATGTTTCTGAGGCAGTTCGCTCTGATGGGAGAAACTCAGGAGAGAGAGAGAGTCCTCGCCCAGTTCTCCAGGAGATACAGACAGAGCAACCCCGAGAGTGAGACAACTGAAGGTACCTGTCTGTCTGGCTCTGTTTGTGGTGTAACCCGAGGTAGACAACTGAAGTACCTGTCCTGTCTGTCTGTGTGTGTGTGTAACCCCGAGAAACGGCACGCAGGTTCAGGGTGTGGGGATGCTGTTCTTGGAGAGGACAGACAGGTGGAGGAGAGACAGAAAAACAGGACAAGAGACCAAAGGGGTGTTTAAATCATCATCTACTTGCAGACAGACAGCGTACCTTCAGTTTTTGTCTCACTCTCGGGGGGTTACAGACACACACCAGACAGACAGGGGCTACCTTCAGGGTTTGGGGTCTCACTTCTCGGGGGTTTACAGACACACAGGACAGACAGACAGCGTTAACCTTCAGGGTTGGGTCTCACTCTCGGTTACAGAACACACAGACAGGACAGGTGTTAAACCTTTGCAGTTGGTCTCACTCTTCGGGGGTTACAGACACACAGGGACAGACAGACAGGTACCTTTCAGGTTGTCTCACTCTCGGGGGGTTACACACACACACACAGACAGGAACAGGCTACCTTCAGTTGGTCTCACTCTCGGGGGTTACACATCACACACAGACAGGTAACCTTCAGGTTGTCTCACTCTTCGGGTTACACACACACACAGACAGACCAAGGGACAGCGTACCTTCAGGTGGCTCTCAACTCTCGGGGGTTACACACACAGCACACAGACAGACAGGTACCTTCATTGGTCTCACTTCTCGGGGTTTACACAGCACACACAGAACAAGGTTACCTTCAGTTGGGTCTT